TTCTTCTTCTTCTTCTTCTTCTTCTTCTTCTTCTTCTTCTTCTTCTTCTTCTCCTCCTCCTCCTCCTCCTCCTCCTCCTCCTCCTCCTCCTCCTTCTCCTTCTTCTGTTTGTTTACTGATTTTAAGATTCATGGACTTTTATGTCATTTATTTCTGAGAGCCACAGCTATTTATTGAATTTACTATCATGATGATTGTTTTAATAAAAAAGCTATTTGTGGTTCAAACATCTTTATCTCTTTTACAGGACAAACCAATTCTTGCTCCTGAACCTCTAGTCATGGATAACCTGGGCTCAATTATGGATCAGTTAAACACCTGGAATTTTCCAATTTTTGATTTAGTGGAAAATATAGGAAGAAAATGTGGACGTATTCTGAGCCAAGTAAGAAATTTATTTGAGCGGATGACATAACACACAGAAGGAAACAGTCAGTTTGTTGCTAATCTGTACATTCGAACACTTGTGGGCAGGCGTGCAGAAAGAATTGAAATTTTATCATAGAACATGCAGTAGGTTTTATGACTATGTGCTGACCAAAACCAACTGGAATTCCAATTGAGTGTTAACTGTTAGCCTACAGTTAAGATGTGATGTAATTTTTTGAAACAAAGGAAACAGAGGCAGAATAGATTAGCCAGGTGGACAAGTGACCTAAATTCATAGAACTGAGCCAAAGAAAAGCTGGCCTAACCCCTGAAAGGAAACTCTTATTTACAATGAATCGATCCCTATAATTATATCTTCCATTTATCGTTTTAACTTCTGAGTATCATAGTGATTAGGCTTCATCAAAAATAAGATACTATATAGAAATATGTGTCTCCCCCACTGTGAAACTTCAGAATTTCATGTGTTTGAAACCATCTCTATCATTTCCAGAAATAGAGAATGGTGGCTGGGGTGCATGAAAAATGTGTTAGTCTTGTCTCTGAAGAGAGACTCTCTCAAGGCTTCGCCATTAAAGTACTGGTTGTTTGGTGGAAGTGGAAAGGAAACATATGGAAATTGGGTGCTTAAACATGTTTTTCTTTTCCAAAAATTGAACCTAAGTGTCCTCTTCTTGACTCTCTAGGCACCAGGTAAGCATGTGGTGAACATGTATAAAGGTAGCCAAGCACTTATACACATAAAATTAAAGTAAATAACTAAAAATTATATTTACAATCCAAGGGCTGATACTATGGTATATCAGTATATATTTAAAATATGCATATGAGTAAATATCACAGCACCCTTGAAAAGTATTGACTACAATGAATCCAAGGTCACCCTTGGCTCTGTGAATCTCTACCTCAAAAGTGGCAAAGCAACACACACCCGAAACAGTTTCAGTGGGATCAGAGGCCACTAATAACTTTTTGCCAAATACTAGAAACCTGTGGAACACTGGTCCTTCTCCATCCCCAAGACTGGCTGTACTCAGCTGCTCTGCAAAAGCCTGAATATGGAGTGTCTTGAGGAAGGACAGTCCACAGGATTTTCCATGCACCAGCATGGAAAGCTGGTGCTCCTACTTTCAGTGTTAAATACACAGGCCCAGAGAACACTTCTGGTCTCCAAGCGAAGACCCTTTCCCTAAAGGAATTATCAATCCAGAAATCTGTTTCAAACTAATGATAGATCAACTAGATGATGAACTATGAAGCAGAAGTTAATTACCATCTGTATAATATGTCATTGTCCCTCTGCTAGACTTTATTCTGGCCTTGACCATGACACAATGGCAGGCAGCCATGTTTGTTAGGAGTTGAGAGTTCCATTTATCTCTTCCTGAGTTCTTAGTGCCAAACTGTCTGAAAAGCTCACTGATACTAACAAGTTCAAGGCAGTCATTGTATTCCATTTGCCATAGTGTCAAAATTTGTTTCTCCTCTTAAGAGCCCTTGAATACAATTGAAACATGTTACACTGAGAGGGAGGCCGTTTTGGAACAAGCATATAATGTGTCCTGCCACAGAATATAGCTGCGGTCCAGGTAGTACCTTTCATTCCTTTCTACTGGAGATCCTGTGCAGTCTATGTAAGGAAAATCAGAAAATTAACAAGCACTGTAGCCCTAGAAGCATGTTACAGGTTTGCTGTAGACTCCCTTTTTTCTCTTTTCTCCTTGAGACAGTGTCACATAGTAGCACCTATGAGAAACTCCCTATGTAGCTCCAGCTACCAAAACTCCTGACAGTCTTGTTACCTTGGCCTCGGAGTTCGGGCCTTTCAGATTCCAAACACCATACCTGCTTGCTTGTCTCTAATCTACATAGTAACTTTGGTATAGGTTTTTGGTGGTGGTGGTAGAGGCAGTGGTTGGTTTGCTCTTTTTGTTGCTGTGTGTGTGTGTGTGTGTGTGTGTGTGTGTTTAATTAGACAATGTCTTACATAACACAGGATTTCACCAAAGATCACCTAGAACTCCTGATCCTCCAGTCTCCACTTAATAAGGACTGCAATCACAAGCCTATGTTACCACACTACTTTGGTTTACAAGTCTTATTTGTTTGTTTGTTTTATTCTCAGGGTTACAGAAGACACTAAGGCTTGGAAGAATATACTTTTCCCCCTTTCTTTCTCCAGAATCGTTTGTGAGATCAGCCTTCTTAGAAGTCTGAGTTCTTTACATTCAGCTACATCCCAGCAGCCCATAAAACACATTCCTTCACAGCATTACCCAACCCTCCAAATAGAAAGTGTGACCGCATGCCAAAGTGACCTTGATGGCTTAACTTTTCAGTACAGTGACAATATATAGTAAAGAGTACTATTAATTTCTGGTGTCCCTTGATGGACTCAGAGGTAGGTGTATGAGTGACCTTTTTTATTGGTGTATTGCTAGGGATCAAATCCTCTTTGCGAAGCTTGGACTCTACCCATGAACAACATTCTCAGCCATGTCCCATCTGTTTATGAATCATGGATACTAGTAGATTTTTGGAATATTTAGGGTATTTAACAGATTTAAAGGTCACCTACATATCTTTTGTATGTCCATGTACAAGTCATGCAAGAAGATATGCTTTTTGTATCTCTCTCTGTTAGTATTTACCTTATTCAATGGACCTTTCTGAGAGTCTGCCTTTGAGTTTAGGAGTCACAAAGTTCTGATTATGAAAAGTTTCCGTGACTTCTACAACACTTTTAGTGAGATGTTAGGACAACTGAAATTAATTAGTATGGGCCGACCAAGAATTAATTAGCATGGGCTGACCAAGAATCATCTTTTGTCTGAGACTCCACAGGGCCAAGTCTCACTTCAAACAGGCTTTTGAAGAGCTATATGTGTGGTGGCCACAACTTCTGGCCTTGTTGAATTCTTTGCCTCTAAATGCTTTACATGTTTATTTTACTTTCAGCAAAAAATCAATTTGTTTATCTTATTTATGCACATTAGTACTTTTCCTGCATGTATGTCTGTGTTCCACATGCATGTCTGGTGCCTGTGGAGGCCAGAAGAGGGCCTTAGGTCTCCTGGAATTGAAGTTTCAGATGGTTGTGAGGTACCATGGACACTAGAAGTTGATCCTTGGTCCTCTGCAAGGACATCCAGCCTTCAGATTTTTAAAATTATATTTACTTTTTTAGTGAACACAGTTTGCCCAGTTCATGATCCTTTCTTCATGAATTTAGAATGATGGTATGTGTGAAATACTAGGTGGTTAATTTTGATAGAACAATATCAATGTCCCATTGTAAAAATCTTACTCTAAAGTAGCCTACTATAGTCTTAACCCTTAATTCCTCTTTGAAAGGTTTTAAGCTTTATGTAAGGCTCTCGGCATGGTGCCACATGTCTTAAATTCTAGGACTTGAAAGACAATGGTAGGTTGATTTCTTTGAGTTGGAGGTCAGCCTGAATATTGAGTTCCAGGCTTGCCAGGGCTACACTGTGAGATCCTATTGTGTGTGTGTGTGTGTGTGTGTGTGTGTGTGTGTGTATGTGTGTGTGTGTATGAAACTCTAAGGATTTGAAGTTCTAATCGCTTTGGTTTCCCAATTGTGGTTGTGGGGTTTGAAGCAGTTATGACTGCAAACTCTAAAACTGACATGTGCAGTTTGTATTCTGGCTCCTCCATACTAACTGGGTGATCTTCTGCAAGTTGTTCAATTTCTCTGTTTTCAGCATGTCCTGCTACCAGATACTGGGAATTCATAGTACCAAACTCAAAGGGTACTCTGAGAACTATCTACAAACAATTAGTATGTGCTGATTGATTAGGGTACATGTCTCATTTGCTGCTATGTGTATCTACACCATTGCCATTGTTACTGGAACTATTTTTTGATGCAACATACACTGCTAACTCCCATAGAACTTATATGTAAGAACTCAAATATTGGCTAAAACAACAATAATGAGAGTAATAGGAAGAACTCTTATGTCTAGCATTGAACTCAAAGCCATAACAAGCTTCCAGTCATATCCTCCCATGTGCTGGGATTGCAGTTCGCAGTTGCCTGGCTTAGCATGCATATATTAAAGTGTTCAGTCATCATCCAATTTAAGACCACAGTTCATGGTTCTTAGTTATACTGGGGTTTTTTCCTTGGTTTCCTGGATGTCTGTGGGATTTATGTGCAATAATTATCTTAAATACAGATGAGATAGTCCCAATGGTGAGGAATTTCATGGACTCACAACACAGAAGTCTTCAGTGTGTTTAATATTCCCAATAGGAATATCTCTACTGTCAGCACACCAGTGTGGTTGATGGTTGTACACTCTGACCTTTTCACCATCTCTAGCATCATGATTGATGTCTTACAAGGTCTTGTTTTCCCCTTTTCCAGGTATCATACAGACTGTTTGAAGACATGGGCCTTTTTGAGGCCTTTAAAATCCCAGTTAGGGAATTTATGAATTACTTTCATGCTTTGGAGATCGGATACAGGGACATTCCTTGTGAGTATATGTAAGCTAACCCAATGCTTGCTCTTCAGACCTGCAGAGAGTGGTGGGATGTCAGTCATTAGCTAATCTATGTGATCTCATTGTATATCATTGACTGTTGTTAGAAACCTGTCTCCTTCTCTGCACACTGTGTGCAACCCTGGAGCCTCACCCACCTCCTCTAGCCTCATTTCTTGATCTTAAAAATAGGGTCATGAGATATGCTTCACATGAATGTCAGGATGAAATAGGATGATCCTTCTTAAAAGGTTAGAATACGTGCCTTGCTTATCTCTCATAGATGTTTGAGGTAAGATTGAATGTTAAATTTAAATTTATCCTCATTAAATAATCACCTGCTTTCATTGAGTGAATTTAAACTCTTATCAAGGTATCTAATAGTTCAAGAACTGAAACAAGAACATTGGATTCTTTCTCCAGATGAGATATATCTGGTAGGTGTTCAGAGGGGCTGGAAGGAGGTGGCTGAGTTAATAGTATAGAAAAGAAGAAACATACAAAAATGGTGATGAAGAAGTTGTAAAAAGTCAGGTACACAATAAACCCCCAAATGAGGGCACAGTCAAGAATTTCAGTTTTTATTATTTATAAAATTATAATAATGAAAACAGAATGCAAAAGAGAGTCTAAACATTCATGTCAAGTCCACATAACCATTGCACATAAGCAGGATAGCTATACAATACTATAGAATGGACGGAGCTGAAGAACATGTCCAAAGACCCAACTAAAGGAGCTCTGGAGGTGCATAGCATCCATATGGTCTTTCAAATAAAGAGACCTATCCAATCTAGGAATTTGAATATGTCTTAGGGATGTGCTCTTTGTAGACTCTGGCAGCATGTGCAGTAAAATTGGATGTGTCTCATTTCAAACATTACTTCCCTTTTAAGTTTGCTTATATACATTTTGAACTTCAAAAGCCCATAACTTTTGCAATTATCAAGATTTGAAATTAAGGGCTGGGATGTAGCCCCATTGGTAAAGTACTTCCCTGGCAAGTAGAAAGTCTGGTGGCATGTTTCTGTAATTTCAGCACTCAGAATGCTGAGGCAGAAGGATCAGAAATCCAAGGTTATCCAGGACCACATAATGAGTTTAATACAATCATGAACTATAGGGAGAGACACATGTCTTAAAAGCAAAAACAGAAAAGAAATTGAAATTAAATTTTAAAAATGCTTATACATGGACACAAATAATTGGCAAGTATCTCTGAAAAGGTTGAACGTGTTTGCCTAGTGAGCATGCTGTCTTTAAGACACTCACATGAAGAGGCATAGGACATACTATGACAGGAAGAAGAAAGAATACAGTCTGCCACTGAGATGGACTGAGGAATACAAGCTCAAGAATGGGCAAAATCAGTCAGTTGGCTTTGGGGCAGAGGTGCTTAATGATACTGGGTTCTTTGGGAAAGTCTGGCCACTGAAGTCTGTGGAAGTTGGAAGACAGAGATGAAAAGGGGGTTGTTGCAGGGGAATCTGGCAACATGCCTGACTTCCTTTAATGTGACTTTCCCAGGGCTCAGCCTGGTCAAATGCCAGCAAGTGACATAAATGTTAGTGATTTCACAAGGATTAGGGAGTTACATAAATAAACATTTTTCAGAAAGGAAGCCACAGGGAAGCAAAAATACAGTAATGCACTAGACAGTAGTTACAAATTACTGTTTTATTCACAAATGTATTTTAATTTTTGATAGACAGGCTTTATTGAATTCATTTAGATGCCACACAGCATAGATATACTGTGATGTGTGGCCATGCTGTTTTGCTATGATCTAGAACACATTGCTGTTTGTAGTGTCACATGAGATGAAGGGAAACACAGGGGGCCTGTATCCGAGTATAAAAAGCTTCCAGATTCTAAAGCTTGTTATTTTATGTTTTATATTTCCCAGTTTTAGATGAGTAAATAATTTATTTTTTAAACTATTGAATTGTTCATCCATAGAATAATTTATATAGTAAGGACACTTATAGGACAAACATGTTGGCTCCATGGGTAAGGATGATTTCCATAAGAGCTGAAAAACCAAGATAGGTTTCAAGAACCCTTGAACCCAATGATAGGAGGACAGAATTCATTTCCACAAGTTTTCCTCTGACCTCCAGGGTGTGCTTGTGTGTGTATATACACAAAAGTAAGCATTAAAATAAATAAATAAACTTATTTGCACTATCCGAGATCTCTTGGCCCCTTGCAATTCCATCTCCTGGGAAGGCTTTATCTTGATGGGCACTGCTTCAGAATATGATATCTCCTCTCTGTTGAGCTTAGACACTCAGCCTAATGTGAGCAAGCTATGAAAGCCTTCCTTCTCATAGTTTTAATTACCAGTGCAAACGTTCACTGGTCTGAATATTTTCATATTGACACTCCTGAAGAATTACACGTCGGATGGCTTTCTGTAAGCAGATTCACCATTAATATTAAAAATCTGTGGACGGAAAGTGAAAATGGAATCAGACGAACCATGACTTAATACTTTATTCACACCGTAGAGATTAAGTCTTCAGTCAGAGTTTGCCTGTAACACCGTTCAGGGCAAAGGGGAGCATAAAACTTAACTGTCATTCATGTACGTCTCAGTTCATCTAGATACAGGTATATAAAGGAAGGGATTAAGGAAGAAAGTTCATGAAGCAGCTGGTAATATAACAATCTACATAGGCAACTTATTAGTAGAGTGTGAAAAATATATGATTTCTTGGTGAAGATTGGTGTTGATGGACACCTTCTAATTCCTAATGGTAAATGATGATACGAGGTATTAGATATTGTCACTGGTCCCCTCAACTGAGCATCTTTACTGTAAATAAGGAAGAAGATGCATCCAAGCCAAACCATTGATCTGAACACCTTAGGTTTTTCTACATCTCTATGTAGTTTTTCTTATACAGGAGCAAAGAAAAAAATGTAAGCATGACATGTTGAGTTTCCCGAATACATAGGCTTCTGGAAGAATCAGGCACTGACTTTTCCACTTTGGATATCTGCATGCACAATAAATGCTGTGGATGTGATTTCGTATTACTGTGGAAATGATAGAATTGGTGGAGGTATTTCCTAGAAGTACCTATGGAGGGGAGTTTGACATGCCTTTCTTGGGTAGTTAAAGTGTGTCCACAGAAGTGTTTGTCCAGTAGATGGCACTGTTAACCCTTGGACCCGAGTTCCCCAGCTGATGTGCTCTCGCTCCTTTGCATCCTTACAGATCATAACAGAATCCATGCCACTGATGTTTTGCACGCTGTGTGGTATCTCACAACGCAGCCGATTCCTGGCCTCCCAAGCGTGATTAGTGATCACGGATCAGCAAGCGACTCGGGTGTGTATGAATTATGTCTGTGCTTCTTGTATGAGCCAGGAACTCTGATCGTGCGCTTTGTTTTCAAAGGAAATCAAAACAATGGCTACAGCTTTGAGTTTTTAAGGATGTCTGTCACTTTCACTTCTTCTCCTCAGATTCGGACAGTGGATTTACACACGGACACATGGGATATGTGTTTTCAAAAATGTATCATGTGTCAGATGACAAATATGGATGTCTGTCTGGGAATATCCCAGCCCTAGAGTTGATGGCCTTGTATGTCGCCGCCGCCATGCATGACTATGATCACCCAGGGAGGACGAATGCTTTCCTGGTTGCCACTAGTGCTCCTCAGGTAAATGTTCAATTTTCAGGAGGGGAATATAATTTAGGGTATATTTCTTGGAGTACAGTTAATTTTACAAATATGACTTGTAGGAGGCACTCAAGTCTGTATGGAACTGACCTATCCTTAGTCCTCAGGAAAATTCTTAGAGAACTTAATTTCCAAAGATGCTGTGGCTTGTGCTAAGATAGTTAGAGCAGATGTTCGACCTCGTTACATAGACAGATCATTTCTCATTTGCCTTCTTAGGAGAGAATCAAATGACTAACAGTGAATACCCTCAACAAAGCAAAGACAGCTTACAAACACGTCCCTTTCTGAAAAGACTGGAGAACCATGTTTTTCTTGGTCCTTTAAAAGCATAAGACTTTGTTTAGAAACCTTTCTCTTTGAAAATATTTTCATGGCAACACTTATTCTTAGTGCTTGTATTTTCATTGGTAGGAATTTACTGTCCATTTATCTTATACATGGGGAAGAATTCTTTTTGCCTGACCAAAGTTTCCTCAAATGAAAATTTTTTCTTAAAATAATTACACACACACATACATAATTTATATATAATATATAATTTATACATGTAATAATATATATAACTGTATATAATGATTTATAGAAAATGTTTTAAGGAGAGAAACTTATATGTCAAAAATAGAATTACCCAAGAAAAGGCAGTAACAATCAAGATAATTTTTAACAGCCAGCATAAAACTGAGGAATTGAAAGCCTTCCATATCCTCATAGACTTCTGTGTTTCCTTTTTAACTTAAGAAGTTGGGCCCCCTCTTCTGCTTCCTTCCACCCTAGGCGGTGCTGTACAATGACCGTTCAGTTCTGGAGAACCATCATGCAGCTGCAGCGTGGAATCTCTTCATGTCCCGGCCAGAGTATAATTTCTTAGGTAACCTGGACCATGTGGAATTTAAGCATTTCCGGTTCCTAGTCATTGAAGCAATTTTGGCTACTGACCTGAAGAAACACTTTGACTTTGTAGCCAAATTTAATGCCAAGGTAAGTAGATCTCTGCCAGTGTTCATTTTATAACACATTAAAGGGGTCTTATAATTGAAGTATTAAATGAAGCTCAATCACCGTGAGCTTTCTGTGAGGAGGAAATCATTGAACTATTTATCCCCTAGCTGGCCTCTAGGCACACTCTGAATCTAGATGCTTGTGAAGTTGAGGTCTTGGCTGTGTATGTTAGACTTGTTCTACAGAGAATAGGAAACATTAGCTGCCACTGTTGCTTTGTTTGATTTAACATATAAGCTTGTCTACAGTGTATGAGGGAAATTATCTGACAGCAGAAGGAAGGAAAGAAAACTTGAAGCAAAACTTCATGTATCAAACTTAAAAGTCCAAGTATTCATTCAAGAAAGCTTCTTATTTGTTCCTTGGAAGAAGCCTTAGTCAATAAAGTATTTGCTTTGTCAGTACAAAGACCTAAGTTTGACCCTTAGAACCCACATTTGAAAAAACAAAACTAAAAGGCTGAACGTGGTAGTGCTCATGCATAATGTCAGTGCCTCAGCACTGGAGAGGCAAACACAGGAGATTCCAGTCTTACTGGCCAGCAGCCTAGCCTAGTCCGAGAGAGACACTGTCTAAAATGCTCCTGAGAAAAGATATCTGAGGCTGGCCTATACACACACACACACACACGCACACACACACACACACACACACACACACACACACACTCCTCCACGTACATTTATGCATACACATACAAAAGAAAACTTCTTACTAGAGTTTTATGATTTAATAGAAATTGATGGTATGTGCTAGCTTCAAGCAGGATCTCTTGTAAGTTCAGTGATAGTTTCTTCTTCATTGATTGATTTTGGTTGAACTGCACCAACTTTTTATTTTCAGTGCAAGCTGCTGACATTAGCTCCAGAATCTGAAGTTCTCATGTTTGATGTTCACACAGAAAGAAGACAATAAAATTCTGTTGTCGTTTTTCATGTTCTACCTGAGCTGTCATAGAGACAGAACATATTGATTTTGTCCCTCAAACAGGTGAATGACGATGTTGGGATAGATTGGACCAATGAAAATGATCGTCTCCTGGTGTGTCAAATGTGTATAAAGTTGGCGGACATTAATGGGCCGGCTAAATGTAAAGAGCTCCACCTGAAGTGGACAGAGGGCATCGCCAGTGAGTTTTATGAGCAGGTAACTCACTGAGCTGCTTCATCCACCACAAGCTGTGTGTCCTTGCTGTGTTCAAGGTCACCAAAGCTTCTCTCAAGCTGTGGCAGCAAAATCATTCCATCTACATTTATAATTGTGCCAAACATATACACTGGGCAGTTTCCGTGGGAATTTAAAAATGGCACATGAAAATGAACTAAACTCTTGAACACTAAGGTAAAATTATCTGCAGGCATTTTGGAGAGACATGTCGATACGGCTGAATAGTATAGGGAGATGCTATGACACCTTTGAAATGCTGAACTGCTACAGGGTTGCTTGTTGTAGTAAAAGTAACATTAGATGTGCATAAGAAAATCTCAATTAACTGCTTTCCTAACTAAGTAACAACAATGTACGAAAGAGATACGTGTGTGTATGTGTCTGTGTGGAGTGTGTATATGGTATATATGTATGTTGTGTGTATGGTGTATATGATATGTGTGGGGTGTGTGTGTGGTGTATGGGGGTTATGTGAGTGTATATGTGTTGGAAGAAGGGCACTTGTTGGTTCCTAGCTGCTCAGTCCAAAAATAATCACACAGAAACTGTATTATTTTAAACACTTCTTGGCCCATTAGCTCTAGCTTTTTATTTTCTAACTCTTACATCTTAATTAACCCATTTCCATTAACCTGTGCATCACCACAATATCATGACATAGTATCAAAATTTCAGCACATCTGTCTCTGACGGGGGCTCCATGGCTTCTCCTGTCTCTGCCTCCTTTCTCCCAGCATTCTGTTTAGTTTTTCCCGTCTACCTCTGTTCCCTGTGCAGACCCAAGACAGTTTCTTTATTAACCAATTTATTAACAGCATACAAAGGGAAATCCCACATGTGTGTGTGTGTGTGTCATGTGGGTGTGTGATATGTGTGTATGGTGTGTGTGTGTGTGTGGTGTATGCATGTGTGTATGGGGATTCTCTGTGTATGTGTTGTGTGTGTGCATGTGTGTATGGGGATTGTGTGTGTGTATGTGGTGTGTGTATCATGTGTGTGTATGGTGTATGTTTATGTGTGGTGTATATGTGTGTGTGTGCATGTGTGGTGTATGTGTCTGTGTGTGTGATGTGTGTATATGGTATGAAGTGTGTGTGTGTGGTGTGCGTGTGTGTATGGTGTGTGTGTGTGGTATATATGTGTATGTGGTATGTGCTAGTGTGGTGTGTATATCTGTGAATGTGAGGTATATATGTGTGTGTGCATAGACACACAAACTCTATGTATGATACAAGAACAAACTATTTAGCAGACTTCATGAAAAGCCACTACATGCTGGCAAGCATGGGTGACCATCCCCACATAAACCTCCATTGATCTAATTATATTTGCAGTTCTGAACAACTTTCTTAAAAGTTTGGTGTAGAAGGAGCTGTGGGCAGGCCTGCTTTTCATCCCGCCCGGCTCCCCCACAGCTAGCTTAGCCCCAGAAATAATAACATGGAAACTGTATTCATTTAAACACTGCCTGGCCCATTATCTCTAGAGAGTTAGTTACTGACTAACTCTCACATCTTGATTAACCCATTTCTAATAATCTGTGTAGCACCATGAGGTGGTGGCTTACCGGGAAAGATTCAGCATGTCTGACCTGGTGGCTGGCTCCATGGCGTCTGCCTCATTGCCCTCTTCCCAGCTTTCTGTTCTGTTTACTCCACCTACCTAATTTTCTGTCCTATAAAAGGGCCAAGGCAGTCTCTTTATTAACCAATGAAAATAACACATAGACAGAAGGCCCACCTACATCATTTGGGCGCCAATCTGTTAAAGGAACGGCGTGCTGTGTCCCAGCTCCTGGCTAGCTTTACCTGGCGGCTGGTTCCATGGTGGTGGCCCCACAAATGCAATTTGCACTTAAGCTACGAGCTGGCTAGTCAGGGTAAAAGCCGTGGGGCTGTAGAGAGACGGTAGGTGCGTGCTCAGGCTGCTAGGCCCTCGCCACGAGGGGGGAAAAAGCCCCACGTTGGGCCCCTGTTTGGTAGTAAATGAGAAGAATGAAAGGCGAGAAATCAGTGACATATTGGATTGTGAAAAAAAAAAATGAAGATGTTTGCCCTGGAGGGAAACAGAGATGATAGAGTGACTGTGGTCCAGAGTTAGAAGTCACGTGTGCAACTTTAAAATTGGCTTCTCCACACATTGCTGTGGCATTTGAGCAGGGAAGTCCTCTCAAGTACTTACCACAGAGCTGATCCAAAATGAATGTTAGGTTTTTCTTGAGTGCCCTGAAGACCACAAGGATAAGTTAGCATGGTGGCACAAGTTTGAAATCCCAACATTGGGAGGTTGAGGCAGGATCTCCCGGGGTTGTATGTGAGGTCAGATCACAGAGGTGTGACAGCAACAAGTTTACCCCTATTAGTATTAAAGGTGTCCAACCAGGATGGGGCACTTTAGAATGAGTGGTGCTTAAATAGGGATTGGAATAAACTTTTAAGATTTATGTTTTTATTTAAGCATTCACATACAAAATAAAATATTTATGCTTTTAAAAATAGTGCATTTCCTTTTCGACTAATAGCATTATCAATCAATGGTAAAGTATTAAAATACAGAAAATATGAAAGAAAAGGAAAACCACATACCCTGGCTTGTAATTTTATTAATTTTTAAAGTTTTCTAGATAACCTCTTTTTATGACCTGTTTTATTCTCATAAATATTTGAGGCAGTTAAAAACAAAAATTTTAATAAATAAGAATATTAAAAACATAATCACAGAAGATACAAATTAAACAAAATCTGACCTAATATAGGAACTTAAATAGGGCAAGAAAATGGTTTATGCTTTCGGGAAATCAAGTCAAAAAGACAAACATAATAGGGGTGTGGCTCAAGTGGTGGCATGCTTGCCAGTGTGCAGAAAGCTTTCAGTTCAAACCCCAGCACCACTGAAATAGTAGTGCATATCAGTAATCTCACTAAATGTTCCCTTGAAAGTGAACCAAAAACTCAAGACTGCACAGTTAACAAATACCAGGAAGAAGGTCCTTCTGTGGGTATTTTAGCTTTCAGCACAGTGACTCAGAGCAGTGACATCAAAGGATTTTATGTGGCTATCTGGGTTATGGCATATCCACACGTTAGATATCAGGTGAATGTTGTCTTGTCTTATGTTAATAGTCCTCTGTCATTTACCTTTGTCATTGTGAATCCATACTTGTAGGGCGACGAAGAAGCCAGCCTTGGTTTGCCCATAAGTCCCTTTATGGACCGCTCTGCCCCGCAGCTGGCCAACCTTCAAGAATCCTTTATCTCACACATTGTGGGTCCTCTCTGCCACTCGTATGACTCTGCGGGTCTCATGCCAGGAAAATGGGTGGATGACAGTGATGATTCAGGAGACACTGATGACCCAGAAGAGGAGGAGGAAGAAGCTGAAACACCAAATGAGGAAGACACCTGTGAAAATAATACAGCTTCCAGTAAGCCATAAAACCCATTTATGATGAGATTTTCTAGGGGTGATTTCTGCTTTGGATTCAGAGGAATTTATGCTTCTTATAAATTACATACTTTAAGTGCAACTATTCCTTTGCTGGGTTGGGTACAAAATAGCTGCCTGTAGCATCATAGAGGCAACAGAAAGTGTGACAATCAGATATCATACAGAGATGTTCTCTCACAAAGAGATGAAATAGAGTTGATAACTAGCTTCAGAATTTCTGAATGATCTTGAATTTCAGCTACTGTATGGATCAATTGCAAGCTTTTTTTCATGGTTGAGTTGGGGATGGGAAGAGATAAGAGGATAAGAGATAAGAGATACGGTCTTTCATTTAACAATTGCTCACTGTACGTATATCTTCTGTACCTGGACATTAGTCCTAGTACTAACAGTAGACCCTTGGACAAAGAAAAAAAAGTAAATCCTTGTCATTTTTGATGTCTATTCTAGAAGAATCACGGATATTTGGCAACACAAACCAGTATGTTCATAATGTGCTAGGTACTGATGGATACAATAGATTAGTTTGGGAGTTCAGGATCACTCTTTGTTTGTTTTACTTTTTGAAGGGATATAAAATATTGTAGAAAACTTTAAAATGATGTATCAAGGAAGAAAGAAAGATTTTAATATGTCTTAAAAAAAACTGTAAAAAATGAAGGAATAGTCCATGGGAATCTATGTGGAAATGGATCTTAAGAAAAGGAATGGGCAGTGGCTCCACCGTCCTGCCCTGGGTGTTAGGAAGAGGTGGCGTAGGACGTCCTTCTGTTTTTGTGTTGCTTTCATTGATTTAATAAAGAAACTGCCTTGGCCTAGTTGATAGGGTGGAACTCAGGTAGGCAGGGAAGACAGAACAGAATGCTGGGAAGAAGGGAAGTGTGGCAGATGCCATGAATCTCCTGCCTGAGATGGACGTAGGTTAGACTCTTCCCATTAAGCCACAATCATGTGGTGAAACACAGATTTAATAGAAATAGGTTAATCAAGATGTGAGAGTTAGCCAATAAGAGGCTAGAGCTAATGGGCCACACAGTAATTTAATTAATACAATTTTTGTGTGGTTATTTTGGGGTTAAACTAGCCGGCCGAGATGAAAAGCAGGCCCTCTCTCCTCCCAACAAAGAGGAATCAGGGTAACTGAAGCAGAGGACAAGGGGAGGAAGCATAGAAGAGGCCATGGAAAGTCATGTGGTACAGGCAGGAGATAGGGCTCTGTGGGTCACAGTGGGAGCTTGGCCTTTTACACTAAAATGAGAAGTCACAGGTGTCTATGAGCAGAACAGTTAGGGAACTCAACTCACATTTTAGCTAAGTTGTTTTGGGAATGTTTGGGGATTTGGGTCAAGATAAGAGCATCATTTCAACTGTTGAACTAATCTGAACAACAGCCAATTATGACTTCTTTAGGGTAGTATCAGTGGTGTGACCATGAGCACCCATCTGTCACAAATACCCTGACAAGAAGCCACTTAAGGGAGAAATGTTTATTTGCTTCACAATTCCAGGTTACAGTCCATGGCTGAGGCGACGTCATAGTGGCAGGCACTTGAAACGATGACATCATCCACAGTCAAGAACAGATAGAAACCCATGGATCCCTTGCACTCTATGTTCATGCTCAACTCATGTCCCTCACTCTCCTACAGTTCAGGGCTAGCCCAGGGAACAGGGCCACCCACATTCAGAAGACCTGTGATGTCTTCTCACATCAGTTAACAGTCAAAACCATCCCTCATAGACATGCCCACCGGCCAACCTGAGCGACAGTTCTTTAGCCAAACTTTCTTCTCAGGTGGTCCAGAGTTATAGGAAGTTAACAATGGACATGTGTCAGTGCACCATCGCATCTGATAACTGGCATTGGGTTCATGACACAGGCAACCAGTAATCAAACTGACCCAGGTGACTATAAAACCATGACTCTGTCTCACCTTTAGATACACTCCTCTATATCTTACAACAAAACACAGAGACTAATACCACAATTAGTAAAACCCAGAACCCCTTGAATGGCACTACACAAGCAAGTTCCTGTGATTGTGTGAACACAGGTTGTTTTCTATCCATTTCAACTGATCAACAAAGCAAGGCTTTAGTATTTTCAAAGTCCTTGAATAAAGCATTGCCACCAGCAATGTCCTTTTCATTTTCTTATCTATTTTGGTAACTGTCAGGAAAATACAAGAGTTGGTTCATGTCCATCATGGAGTAAGGATACTGCTATGCTGGTTTGGTCCATTCTGATGTGTGTGTGTGTGTGTATATATATATATATATATATATATATATATATATATATATATACACATACACATATATACATATATATATATATATGTATGTATAGCTGTGGATAAAATGATATAGTTGATACAGATGAAATTGATATAGATAAAGGTAGCTATACCCTGATTTTCAGCAAACCCTGAAAGAATTAAGACTTACATGACAGAACTTTGGAACACTGTCTTTGGGCCAGATTTGTGCGTGTTCTCTCCTACCTGTTAGTCTTTCTCGTTCTTTGTCTTTTTTACTATCGTGTGTGTGTGTGTGTGTGTGTGTGTGTGTGTGTGTGTGTAGGCATGTATGTGAAAGTCAGGGGAAAACATTCAGTGTTATTCATCTGCATCTCTGCTTTCATATCTGCCTAAACCAGGTAGCTGTCTCTACATCACATCTACCTATAGAGCATTGAGAATACAGAATCTTTTATTTCTTTTATTTTCTTTTTTAATTTGTTTTAATTAATTAATTTATTTATTAAAAGTTTCCACCTCTTCCCCTCCTCCCTTTTCCCTCCCCCTCCCTCTCTAGTCCTAAGAGCAGTCAGGGTTCCCTGCCCCGTGGGAAGTTCAAGGTCCTCCCCGCTCCATACAAATCTTATAAAGGTGAGCATCCAAACAAACCAGGCTCCCACGAAGTCAGTCCATGCAGTAGAATAAAAATCCAGTGCCATTGTCCTTGGCTTCTCAGTCAGCCTTCATTGCCAGCCACGTTCAGAGTGTCCATTTTGATCACATGCTCCATCACTCCCAGTCTAGATGGCCTTGGTGAGCTCCCATTAGATCAGTCTCACCGTCTCAGTGGATGGACACGCTCCTCATGGTCCTGACTTCCTTGCTCGCATTCTCCCTCCTTCTGCTCCTCATTGGGACCTAGGGAGCTAAGTCCAGTACTCCAATGTGGTTCTCTGTCTCTATCTCCATCCATCGCCAGATGAAGGTTCTATGGTGATATGCAAGATATTCATCACTATGGTTATGGGACAAGGCCAGTTCAGCACCCTCTCCTCTGCTGCCCAAGGAACAGTCTGGGGATCTCTCCTTGGACCTGGGACCTCCTTTAGAGAGAAGTCCCTAGCAAACCCTAAAATGGCTCCCTTAATTAAGATATTTACTTCCCTGCTCCCATATCCATCCTTCCTCCATCCCACTCATCCCATTCCCCCAAGCTTTCCCGAATCCTCCCCTTCTCCCTTCTCTCTACCCATCTCCCCTTACATCCACCTCCCATCCCCCACCCCCGTGCACCCAAGTTTGCCTGGCAATCTTGTCTACTTCCAATATCGAGGAGGATAACTATATGATTTTCTTTAGGTTCACCTTCTTATTTAGCTTCTCTAGGATCACGAATTATAGGCTCAAAGACCTTTAATTATGGCTAGAATCCACTTATGAGTGAGTACATACCATATTCCTCTTTTTGGGTTTGGGATACCTCACTCAGTATTGCATTTTCTATTTTCATCCATTTGCATGCAAAATTCAAGATGTCATTGTTTTTTACCACTGAATAAAACTCTAATGTGTATATGTTCCACACCTTCTTTAACCATTCTTCTACTGAGGGGCACCTAGGTTGTTTCCAGGTTCTGGCTATTGCAAATAGTGCTGCTATGAACATAGTTGGATAAATGCTTTTGTAGTATGATAGGGCATCTCTTGGGTATATTCCCAAGAGTAGAATTGCTGGGTCCTGAGGGAGGTTGACTCCCAGTTTCCTGAGAAACCGCCACACTGATTTCCAAAGTGGCTGTACAAGTTTGCATTCCCACCAACAATGGATGAGTGTTCCTCTCACTCCACATCCTCTCCAGCATAGGTTGTCATTGGTGTTTTTGATTTTAGCTATTCTGACAGGTGTAAGATGGTATCTCAAAGTTGTTTTGATTTGCATTTCCCTAATTGCTAAGGAGGTTGAGCATGACCTAGGTACAACATCAGCTTTAAGTGGATGATAGTATCCAACCTCAAGTCCTCTCTCTTGTACAGCAAACACTTACCCACTGAGCCACCTCCACAGCCATTTGCTTTCTAATTGAGTGAGGAAAAGTGAAAAGTTGGTTTTTCTCTTAATATTTAATTGTTGATATATTTCTCTGATGCATATAAGAAATTATTGACTTTAGGATCAAAGATAGAATCTGAAACTTGATATTCAAGAGTTATTTATTCATCTTTTCGTTCTCTCTTTTGTTTTGTTTCCACTTGAAATCATCAGACAGCCTGATGGTTGGTCATGGAGAGACAGGTCCCTCAGTGTCATAAAAGACCTATGTCGGCTGAGCCTCTGAAAATGCTTCGGCCACAAGAGCTTCAGGGATTGCCATTTAAGCTCATAAACATTATTGAGGTACATACCAGGCATGGAGAATTGCAGGAGTCATACCAGGACCATTATTTATCAGGTTCAGCTTGCCTATCTAAGCTTGAGTAGAGAATGATCTTTCCAAACACTGGGTTAGCATGCTGGCCTCCAGAGTGATATGCTTTTTCCTATGTCTTTCTGTTTCAGCCTAGTCTAGTGAAGCATCCATGAAAATTCTATGAGTTCAGTTACACATGACTTTCGGTGTTCAAGTTTCCCCCTTACACAGAAATTTAAAACATCCCTGCCACAGTTATCAGATACTGTAATTTTAGACATATGACTGTTTTATACACAGATTTGTGTTTAGGAATGTATGTTTAAGTG